CTGGAGGGAGGAGACGCACAGAAGCCTTTACCCACACACACAGGGGCTTTTACACAGAGAAGTCTTTACACAAAGGAGCTTTTTACACACAGAAGGTTTTACACAGAGAAGTCTTTACTCTAAGGAGCTTTTGCGCACAAACGTCTAGGAGCTTTTTCACACAGAAGTTTTTACACGAAGAAGTCTTTACACAGAGGGGTTTTTACACACAGACGCGTTTGCACACAGAAGCTTTTACGCAGAGAAGCCTTTACACAGAGGAGCTTTTACACACAAAAGCATTTACACACAGCAAGCTTTTACACACACAGGGGCTTTTACACAGAGAAGTCTTTACACAAAGGAGCTTTTTACACACAGAAGGTTTTACACAGAGAAGTCTTTACTCTAGGGAGCTTTTGCACACAAATATCTAGGTGCTTTTTCACACAGAAGTTTTTACGCGAGGAAGTCTTTACACAGAGGGGTTTTTACACACAGACGCATTTGCACACAGAAGCTTTTACACAGAGAAGCCTTTACACAGAGGAGCTTTTATACAAAAGCATTTGCACACAGCAAGCTTTTACACACACAGGGGCTTTTACACAGAGAAGTCTTTACACAAAGGAGCTTTTTACACACGGAAGCTTTTACACAGAGAAGTCTTTACTCTAAGGGGCTTTTTACACACAGACGCGTTTGCACACAGAAGCTTTTACACAGAGAAGCCTTCACACAGAGAAGCTTTTACACACAAAAGCGTTTACACACAGCAAGCTTTTACACACACAGGGGCTTTTACACAGAGAAGTCCTTACACAAAGGAGCTTTTTACACACAGAAGGTTTTACACAGAGAAGTCTTTACTCCAAGGAACTTTTGCACACAAACGTCTAGGAGCTTTTTCACACAGAACTTTTTACACGAAGAAGGCCTGACAGAGAGAGTTTTTACACATAGACGCGTTTGCACACAAAAGCTTTTACACAGAGAAGCCTTTACACAGAGGAGCTTTTACACACAAAAGCATTTACACACACAGGCGAAGAAGTCTTTACACAGAGGGTTTTTTACACACAGACGCGTTTGCACACAGAAGCTTTTACACAGAGAAGCCTTCACACAGAGGAGCTTTTACACACAAAAGCATTTACACACAGCAAGCTTTTACACACACAGGGGCTTTTACACAGAGAAGTCTTTACACAAAGGAGCTTTTTACACACAGAAGGTTTTACACAGAGAAGTCTTTACTCTAGGGAGCTTTTGCACACAAATATCTAGGTGCTTTTTCACACAGAAGTTTTTACGCGAAGAAGTCTTTACACAGAGGGGTTTTTACACACAGACGCATTTGCACACAGAAGCTTTTACACAGAGAAGCCTTTACACAGAGGAGCTTTCACACAAAAGCATTTGCACACAGCAAGCTTTTACACACACAGGGGCTTTTACACAGAGAAGTCTTTACACAAAGGAGCTTTTTACACACGGAAGCTTTTACACAGAGAAGTCTTTACTCTAAGGGGCTTTTTACACACAGACGCGTTTGCACACAGAAGCTTTTACACAGAGAAGCCTTCACACAGAGAAGCTTTTACACACAAAAGCGTTTACACACAGCAAGCTTTTACACACACAGGGGCTTTTACACAGAGAAGTCCTTACACAAAGGAGCTTTTTACACACAGAAGGTTTTACACAGAGAAGTCTTTACTCCAAGGAGCTTTTGCACACAAACGTCTAGGAGCTTTTTCACACAGAACTTTTTACTCGAAGACGTCTTTACACAGAGGGGTTTTCACACACAGACGCATTTGCACACAGAAGCTTTTACACAGAGAAGCCTTTACACAGAGGAGCTTTTACACACAAAAGCATTTACACACAGCAGGCTTTTACACACACAGGGGCTTTTACACAGAGAAGTCTATACACAAAGGAGCTTTTTACACACGGGAGCCTTTTGGAAGCAAATTTCTGCCATTTGGCGGTCCCTCGGCCGGCTATTGAATTTCTCTTCTGGGATCATTGGGAAACGGCCGGTTTTGGCCAAATCCTGGCCGGGAGCCTTTTGGAAGCAAATTTCTGCCATTTGGCGGTCCCTCGGCCGGCTATTGAATTTCTCTTCTGGGATCATTGGGAAACGGCCGTTTTTGCCCAAATCCTGGCCGGGAGCCTTTTGGAAGCAAATTTCTGCCATTTGGCGGCCCCTCGGCCGGCTATTGAATTTCTCTTCTGGGATCATTGGGAAACGGCCGTTTTTGGCCAAATCCTGGCCGGGAGCCTTTTGGAAGCAAATTTCTGCCATTTGGCGGCCCCTCGGCCGGCTATTGAATTTCTCTTCTGGGATCATTGGGAAACGGCCGTTTTTGGCCAAATCCTGGCCGGGAGCCTTTTGGAAGCAAATTTCTGCCATTTGGCGGCCCCTCGGCCGGCTATTGAATTTCTCTTCTGGGATCATTGGGAAACGGCCGTTTTTGGCCCAAATCCTGGCCGGGAGCCTTTTGGAAGCAAATTTCTGCCATTTGGCGGCCCCTCGGCCGGCTATTGAATTTCTCTTCTGGGATCATTGGGAAACGGCCGTTTTTGGCCAAATCCTGGCCGGGAGCCTTTTGGAAGCAAATTTCTGCCATTTGGCGGCCCCTCGGCCGGCTATTGAATTTCTCTTCTGGGATCATTGGGAAACGGCCGTTTTTGGCCAAATCCTGGCCGGGAGCCTTTTGGAAGCAAATTTCTGCCATTTGGCGGCCCTCGGCCGGCTATTGAATTTCTCTTCTGGGATCATTGGGAAACGGCCGTTTTTGCCAAAACCTGGCCGGGAGGTTTTACACAGAGAAGTCTTTACTCTAAGGAGCTTTTGCACACAAACGTCTAGGAGCCTTTGCACACAGAAGCTGTTCCACGAAGAAGTCTTTACACAGATATATAGCTTTCATTCACAGACGCGTTTACACACAGAATCTTTTACACAGAGAAGCGTTTACACAGAGAATTTTACACAGTGAAATCTTTACACAGACGCGCTTTCACACAGAGAAGCTTTCACACACAGAAGCTTTTACACAAAGAAGTCTTTACACAAAGTGGTTTTTACACACAGCAACTTTTACACGCAAAAGCTTTTACACAGAGAAGCCTTCAGCCAGAGGAGCTTTTACACACAAAAGCGTTTACACACAGCAAGCTTTTACACACACAGGGGCTTTTACACAAAGAAGTCCTTACACAAAGGAGCTTTTTACACACAGAAGGTTTTACACAGAGAAGTCTTTACCCTAAGGAGCTTTTGCACACAAACGTCTAGGAGCTTTTTCACACAAAACTTTTTACACGAAGAAGGCCTGACAGAGAGGGTTTTTACACACAGACGTGTTTGCACACAGAAGCTTTTTTTACACAGAGAAGCCTTTACACAGAGGAGCTTTTACACACAAAAGCATTTACACACACAGGGGCTTTTACACAGAGAAGTCTTTACACAAAGGAGCTTTTTACACACAGAAGGTTTTACACAGAGAAGTCTTTACTCCAAGGAGCTTTTGCACACAAACGTCTAGGAGCCTTTACACACAGAAGCTGTTACACAAAGAAGTCTTTACACAGATATATAGCTTTCACACACAGACGCGTTTACACACAGAGGCTTTTACACAGAGAAGCCTTTACACTTTACACAGAGAGTTTTTACACACCGCAGCTTTTACACACAGTGAAATCTTTACACAGACATTTCACACAGAGAAGCTTTCACACATAGAAGCTTTTACACAAAGAAGTCTTTACACAAAGTGGTTTTTACACACAGAAACTTTTACACACAAAAGCTTTTACACAGAGAAGTCTTTGCACAGAGGCGTCTTGACATGAAGTCACAAGTTGAAATTGGCAGCAGTTCTTCGGGAAAAACCCTTGGCAGGAGCTTTCGGGCACTCACTTGCTCCCCAAAAAAGCCGTCTATTTCCAACAAAGTTCCTGTTCTTTTTTTTTTCAAAAAACGTAAGGAATATATTTCTGAAGCAGGTCCCCATCCAAAAGCTTTCCAGCCCCCACACTGCGATGAAATGGAGGGCCGAGAAATCCGGCGGAGCCGACGAGGGGCGTTAGCCCTTAAATAATATATGATATATGATCTTAGAATCTGATACTAGGCTTGGTGTCCTACTATGGCTGGGATACTGTCAGGTCTTGGCGGGTGTATAAATATGTACATGGATCGCTGCAGGAATCCATCTAGGATTTTCCGAACATCACCCAAGCAAGCTACGCAACTTCATGACACACCTGGTTCGTCAAGTTGGAGTGGATTGGACTATTGGCTCAGTTGGATGATCAGCTTTTCAGTTTCTTAAACTCGGGTTGGTGGTTTCATTTTGTTGCATCCTGTCTAATTTTAATATAAGAGTCAAGTGGGGTCATGATTTCAGGTAGGGATGAACAGTGAAAGACAGTTGAAACCTGAAATCACCCACCAAAGGCTGGTTGTGAAATGCTTCACGAGAGTCTACGGGTGACTGGTCCAGCCTGCTACCGGAAACGTGCATGAGAATCAGCTGCATGAAATTTTGCGGCGAAAGAAAAGTCTGCTAAAGTCATACATTCGGCTTACGCCAACAGTGCCGAGCTGAAGAGCTACCAGCACCTGTTCCCAGGAACCTTGCCTGGAAACCCTTGCTTGCGAACCTATTCCTGGAACCTTTTTTGCAACCTTTTCTTAGACACCTGTTCCTGGGAACCTTGCTTATGCTTTGTCACAACGGCGAGGCGGAAGAATATCCTTTTGTTTCCCGCAATTAGCTAATCTGCGGCCCTGGGCACAGCGAAAGAAGATTTGAGGTTTTACATAGGAATCAAGCATTGCCAAAAGCTTCAATTTGTGCATTGTGATGCCTATAAAATGAATTTGAGTAGTACCTTCATTTTAGAGGATGAGCCATGGAGCGCAGGGTTGCGTCAATCGAACTGTGGAACCAACAAATTCTAGACACACCCAGCTCTTCCTCAATCAAGGAGCATCTTTTTCTAGGTCTGAACTGCCGCTCTTTGCGCCAACCGCTTCGCTTGGCGCTTGGCACTGTTCTTTAGATTTTTCAGAATCCTGTTGCGGTCGATTCTCTGAGCCTTCTTTGAAGGTCTCAGCTTTCTAGCTATGTCCAATACATGGGGATCGTCCCAAAACACTTTGGCTGCGGAGTCGTCTGCTTCTTTCTTGGATGCACGCTTCTCTCCTTCGAAATCCGTTTTATCCCAAAGGTAGGGATGGAGGAGACGTCCCTTGTCAGTTAAGTGCAAAGTGCTTTGATAGCTGCCCTCCGCATCCTTCACCGTATGGAATTCTCGCAAGTGGACAACATCCTCGTCACGGCTAGACAAGCGTCTCGGTGCAAGCGCCCTGGCTGAGACGTGGCGACATGTTCCTTCCCTCATGGGTCTTAATAATGTTGAATATGATTGGGTATACTCCTATTTGGGATGATTTAATTCATTTCCAAATGGTTTGTTGATGGGATGGTTTATTATTGGGTTGACAACATTAACTGATTTCATGCTCCTGTGATCATTGCATTGCTTGTGACTGAGTCAGTCACTCTAAGAACTCCTTGGCCGCCACCTTGAAATTCTCACCGTACTTTGCCAAATTGAAGCCCCAAAGCTTACCGCGTGGTGGAGAATACGTTGGAATTGCGGCGAGACGGGCAGACCTTGGCATACCATTTACCTTGGACTGCTTGGACTGTTTGCTCCGTCCAGTTTGCCGCCCTTCCCGTCACTGTTCGATGCACTTCTTGCTCTTGATTTGCTCCTCTGGGGCAACTTGTCTGCGGACTCTAGGTGTTGTTTGGGAGATCTCGGCGGCAGTGTGACTTTCGAACACATCGAACTGCTGCTTGAGTGCGAGTCCTGCCAGGCAGGCGGGACACAATCATTGGGTTGTGCTTGGAGAACGCTTCCCACATCATGGTTGCTTGGTTTCCCTGCATCCATGGACTCCATGGCGTTCGGCCCAAAACTGAGGCGACAATGATCAAGTAGGTTTTGAATTCCCCACAGATGGTGTAGATATCTGATACTGAGGTGTGAGACAAAAAGCCCAATTCCTATGCATTGATGACCAAACAAAAATGGCTATTTACCCAAGTTTTGACTATGGTACATGCTTTTCAAACCTGCACCGCCGCAATTTCGAGCCATGATAAGCAACAGAACCAGCATCAAGATATCCAGCACCAGACAACTTGCAAAATGTCATGAGTTCCGGCTTGAATGAAGGTCTCAAAGATATTCACAACAGCATCTGCAAATCAGAAAATTCAAGGAACCTGCCTTCTCACACCAAAGCAGGGTGACCTCACAAAATGCCAGAATGCACGTGCGTTTGTTCTTCTGAAAGATTTGGGCACATTCGTTTAGACCACTTCTCAAGTTCCCATGGTTGGCCTGTCACCTTGCCTAGGCCCTCACCTGCTTTCACCTAATGGTGTCCTCAAAGAGGGGTCCAACGGGGTCCACCAGCAATGATTCCCTGAACTTCAGCAGCTGACTTTCATGAAAACCTCTGATATCCAGCGTGCGTCTTGATGGTGACCAGCAAACACAGTGCAACTGACGTCAGCATGAAGCACTGTACCTGGGAAACAGCTGGCATCCAACGTCCAAATCTGAAAGCTGCGCCTGTGACAAATCTCTATCCCAAATCAGCACAAGCTGTCTAGATTCCTATCATTTCAAACCCTTCGGCTGGTGCAAAAATGTTGTCAGTCCAACTGGGAGCGTCAGCAACCGGCCTATGCGAAGAGTTGGATGTCTTGGCACACGTCTCCGGCGTTAGTCTTAATTCCATTTAATGGGTCATGATTATGGACAGCCAAACCCAGACCTGGAAGGTTGCATAGAACTAAAGCTTGCCCAGCTGCTAGTCGCCAGCAAACCACATTGGCAAGGGTGTTATAGTTGCAAATCACACCGGTACAGCACGTGGCATGGCCAAGGAGCAGGCTGCGGTTCCTGTGAAGGCAAGGTCAGGGAAAACATGACCAAAACATGTTCAGCACTTCAACCAGGAGACGTGTTTGTTTAGTCAAGATTCTGTGGTGTCCAGAGCTGCAAACGAGGGGTTGCAGGTGTCTACACCAGTGTCTCGAAAAGGAGCCTCAAGATCTTCCTATTGCAATTGCGTGAAACAAAGTCCCAAAACGATTGGATTTCAACGGCCACGTGCGACAAATTTCAAGGCCCAGTGCCTTTAATGCGCATCCAAGTTGCCCATCAGCTTCGGCCTGAGCTGAAGAGCTACCAGCACTGTCAGCAGTAACCACCTTGTAGAACTATAAAACTGCAAGACCAATGCTGGTACCTGCTGGATCTAATCTTAAAACATCAAAATGTTTAGTCGCCACATTGTGCTTGAGGAAAAAATAGTGTGCAAATTTCGGCAGAAATAACACAAAACGATTGTACACCAGGGCTACAGAAGTGGAACGCTGTGTTTTTTGGTGTTTGCTGCTTTTTGCAAATGGTTTCTTTCAAGGTTTTATCTTCGTTTCAAGATTTGTTCCTGTTACACTAGTGGACATCGATATTGTCCCGATCTTGCTGCTAGTATCTGTTAAAGCCCAGACTTCCAAAAAACAAAACTATAAATGGAGGCACCCAACGAGAATCCTACAACAAAGATCAAATATTACGCAACCTTCTTCTCTACACAGCGGTGCCTCAAAATTGCGGAATTACGCAACTTGTTCAACCCTTATCAACTCTGTCTCCTCAAGTTGTTGGCTGAAGATCGGGGAATGACGCAACCTCCCCCTACGTACACATTGGTACCTCAAGATAGTGGCTTGCCTGATGACATATGTGCAAATTCATGTGTCTGTTGGAGTATCAGGGTGTCAGTCACTGTTTTTAGTCATGCTGAGCCAAGCTGTTGTGACTTGATTCTTCCTATAATTGCGCTACATCCAAGTCCAACCAGGTGGAAATGCCACCAAGTTACTCATGCATACCTACATGTTGCCTTTTTGAGTACGTTCACAGGCGTTTGCAGAAAGATGGGTTTGTCTCGAAAATATGGGTACCAAGAATCGCCATGGTTTAAAATCTCATTTTCCCAATCAAATAGCCATATAGCGCAGCGAAATGCTCAATTTTCATCAATTTTCAGACATACTATCATCATATTGCTTTTATGACCCCACTGTGTCCCAGTATATCCAATATGAACTAGTTGGTTTTATACCCCCAGAATTTCGTTGGTCAAAATACCCCATTTTCAAACAGACCCAGATCATACTGAGATTGCAGCCGCATCCTCATTTCGCCGCTGACGCAGCCAGCAGGTCGCATACGCCAGCGAGCCGCCATGCATTGGTCAGGCGGAATGTTTCTGAATATAAATAATTGGGACCAGGGTGTTTTGTTACCAAATAATAAATATTGAAGGGGGCCTCCGAAAGTACTCAACAAAATGTGTATCTATATACACATATATTATATAAATATACATATATATATATATATATTGTATACATTGCCTAGAAGAGAAGACCTGATATCGCGCATATGCAGGTAAATGTAAAGCACGGCAAGTTGAAGCACTGTGTGAGGCCGAACATGCTCATGAGGACACAACTCTTTCTAGTTGAAAATGTTCATCAAAAAACACGAATTTGTTTAGTGGAAAATGCTCTGCGTTATTTTACACCTGCGGCATTGCCTAGAAGAGAAGACCTGAAATCGCGCGTATGCAGGTACATGTAAAGCACGGCTAGTTGAAGCAGTGTGTGAGGCTGAACATGCTCTTGAGGACACAACCCTCTCTAGTTGAAAATGTTCATCAAAAAAAACGAATTTGTTTAGTGGAAAATGCTCACGTTATTTTACACCTGCGGCATTGCCTAGAAGAGAAGACGTGAAATCGCGCGTATGCAGGAAAATGAGAAGAACGGCAAGTTGAAGCACTGTGTGAGGCGCAACATGCTCATGAGGACACAACTCTTTCTAGTTGAAAACGTTCATCAAAAAACAAAGTTGTTTAGTGGAAAATGCTCATCTTCAGCCACAGATCAATTATCGCGTGGCCTGCGTGGCGGATCGTACTTCAAGTTGGAATAAATTGTTCTTTTTTTAAGCAAACCAGCTGATCCGCGATCCGCCATGTGATTCATATGAGCCCCGTCAGGAGTCTAAGGGGAGAGGGTGGCAGCAGCTAGTCAAGAGGAAAAACTTTTGTCCTGGTGTTGTATCTATCTGTCTGTCTGTCTGTCTGTCTATCTATCTATCTATCTGTCTGTCTGTCTGTCTGTCTGTCTATCTATTATCTACTCTCTCTACCTACCTACCTACCTGCCTACCTATTTATCTATCAATATCTATCTTGAAAATTATATAGTATTAAGGATGAAACCAGGCTTCTCTTGTGATTAGTGTGTCATCCGTGTTTTGCGGTACTGCAAACGGAGGCAATGATCTTTGCCAATTCCATGGGGTCTTGGAAAGCACCCAACCCTTGCAGCATCGCAGGTGTGCAAAGCCCTACAATAACTAGCGACGCCATGCGATACCTGTGGCAGATGAAAGACACCCTTTTGCACCTTTCCGTGACACAGTGAAAGATCGCGCCCATTTTGCCGCGGGCATTGTTGGCATAAAGCGGTACGTCTACGTCACTGTGAGAGAAAGTGGACTTGTGCAATTCCGACCTCAGGTTGCATCGCGCAAAACTGATTGGTGGTTTCAATCCCCCGGAAAAGTGTTAGGAGATATGAGCCATGTTCGATCATCCGCTTTTTGCAGGGATGGAAAATAGATAAAGGTTGTAAGTTAAAAACAACAACCTCAAAAATGCAGAAACCACGCGCTTGCAAAGGAGACTGAAGGGTCTCGAGCAGTGTGGAGTTCCTTCCAAACATTGGTGCTCAAGGATGCGGTAAATCTGCTGAAAAAGTCAACATCAAGCACACTTACCGAAAATGTTTGAGAAACAAGTGAAGGAATGTTGGAGGGCTCTTCTCAGGATGAAGTATCTGGATGAACGAACCATCAACATTAACCAGATGGACAAGCGGCGATGGCTCCAAGGACACCTCCAAGAAGAATCAGAATCCACCTCAGCCCAAATAGCCCAGGAAATTGTACCTGACCGGATAGGATAACCGAAGCATAAATCTTATGGACTTGGCATGTCCCACATATATCTGGGCAAACCAATCATCAATAGAATCACTGAATGATAAGACTGCTTAAAATCATCTTGAATAAGATTCACATCAAAATCGAATGGATCATCAGCCGGCAGGCTGTCATCGAAAAAAACAAGGTCCCAACTCGTCTTCTTGAAAGACTGGATGTAGCAAGTTCTCAAACTCATCAGGAGGCCTCAGCCCGAGGAGAGGTATAGCATCACCCGACTAAAACGCTCACATTCATCTCAAACGATGGGATGCCGACATTCTTTGCATCGCGTAAGCATTGGACCTGTCACAGTCCAAATAGATTCTTTCATTAATCAAGCTTCACGGGCAACCATTGCCATTTGCCCAGCAAAACAACAGCGTTGTCTGCAACTTTGACCACTTAATTGGCCACATATATATATATATGAACAAAAGTCTCTGCTTGGCAAGTTGACCCATTTGCTAACTGACCAGTATGGACAGTAAGTTGAGCAAAATTCTACCATTTACCCAAATACCCCAAAAAGTTAACCTCATCCGTTCACTCATATCAAGAGTGACCAAGAAAGCATACCAGCCTGAACACATCTGTGGCCACGCTGATGTACTGCGCTGCCTTGAATCACAAGGCGAGTCCGACGACAGAAGATCCCTTCTGGGTCAGAGTCTCCAACCGCTTCATGGAGATCTTCTGATTCAGCAATGCGCTCAGCTGATGCCTCAAAATGCTGCAAGAAGCAGTGATTTCTGGATGATAATTTACCCAAGTTGGGGATGGTCAATTTTGACCCATGGCCCACAGCTATATGATGCTATA